AAAAAGCCTGTAGGATGCATGCCAGAATTAAAAACAACCTAGGCAGGATGAGTACATGAAAGCTGTCAGGACAGTTATTCTTATTCTCAATTTCTTTCAGCTCATCTGTTCTCAAGGAAGAAAACTCATAGTTTCTTTTAGCCATATCCACAGCAGATTTCACTTGAAAGGAAACACAGCAAGTGATCTGGCATGAATGGGCATATGACCAATTTTCCAGCAACACTACTGAATATTTATGTCAGTGACGAATGATGACACTGGTGAGATATTTTAACATGAAGCCTTGCCTTGTAAATCGTCTGAATGACGCTGCGTCAAAACAACACCTACCATAAATCAGAGGTTTTAAGACCAGTATTTCTTGTTCAAACATGCTACCTGCTCAGCACAAGCACTTGTGTGAACAGGCATAGATTAATGTGTGCTAAGCAGAGCCATTTTACCTCCGAACTTATAGAGCTATAATTTAACAGGCCTATTATTGTCAAGGTAATTTTGACAGTGCTGAAATATTACACTTGTTAAAATATGCATTTAGCACTCCAGTGGTCATTTGAACTGAATAAACAGATAGGCAATCCTGCAATTAGAGTTCTTCTCTATTGATGACTTTTCTTTTCTGGCAAGGCAGCTGTATGTTGACAACTGATTTTGTAAGTAGTATAGCAATAGAGTCTTTCTGATAACACAAAAACCTTAGCGTGTGACTTTCAATTCGCTTTTCCCTTATTTGTGAGATATTTAGCAACTTGCAGTGAATTCAGGAGTCCCTTTCCAGGAGACAGAAAGGGAACAATAGTCCACCCTCCTCTCCCAGCCCCTCTAAGATGCACATCCTGATTCGGGATATTTTACATTCGGAAGTCATCTTCAGAGCCTAATTTCCCACTCAGTTGGGCTGGGAATTGGCATTAGGGCAACTCTGGATTTCTGATTAAGGAGACTATGAGAATGTCTGCCTCAAAAATCCATACCTCCGGGACTACAAGTACCTTCTAGGAAAAAAATTAAAATACAGCAGAAGTCAGTGGGGTTTTTTTCTTTTCTTAGGGTCTTAGTTCTCACTGAAGCCATAAAAAGATGATAAAATTTGTACTTTTTTACCCTGTGGAATGCTTAAGTAAGCATGCCCACTTCTACCCCCCTTTTTCTAGGATCTTAAGTTCGCACCTAAATCAAGCCATAAAGAAAAGATGACAACACAAATTTGTACTTTTTTACCCCGCAGAATGCACAAATGAGCATATGTACACATCACAGAAAAACTGATGGTACAGATGAAAAAATAGGCGATAACCCAACATTAACTCTGTACTTCCCAAGAGAATAACAAATACCTCTACTGACACCAGTGGCTCAGTTTCTCAAAGCCAAGTTTTAAAAAATTAAAAGCAAATAAATATTTATCTGGAATGCACTAAAATCAGTTCAGTTGGCCACATTTTATATCACCATCATCAGGCAAGAGAAGGCAGGACAATTAGCCGCTTGTCTGGTCTCCAAATGAAGTGGGGTGGGCTGAGAAACTTGAAGGAATAAAAGGTTTCTGCTGACTCTCATGGCTTGGACGAAAACTTAAGAAACTGTGATTCTCTTTCTCCCTAAACTCACAAAGGAAACAGGACGAGGTCATAGAAGCAGCCAAAATCTTTTAGGAATTTAAATGCATCCAGCCAAGGAGTCCTCTCTGTCTCAGAATCTAGATATCCTTGTATGAAATGCAAGGCTTTCCTGGACAACATTTTAATATTTATTCATGCAGTTTAATGTTTCAAAACATAAAGGCTGCTTTTAAAAGTCTCTATCAATACATATTAAGGTACAAAGACCCATGCTAGAAAAATGGGATTTTCGAGAAAGGCTTAATATCAAACCTAGGTTTTCCCAGGCATGCACTGACTCTGTCCATGCATTCTGCAGAGCCTGCTGCCTCCTTGTGCCGAATTCAAAAGTAGCAAGGATCTGGCTCGCACAATGCAAACCTGATTTCCATTTAAAAGAGAAATCAGCTCTTAAATGCTAAATGACTTACAGTTGACCCATTAATTCAGATCTGATTGAACTGCAACAGGGCCAAGCGTGAAGGTAAATTTTGCTGAGAAGGGGCAGATGCAGTTAATGGTATTGGATAATGTGTGAAATGCACTATTTGACTGAGGTCATAATCGAACTGTGGAAGAAGTATAGACACCACTAAAGTGAGATTCCATAACAGTAATAGACACACATAAACCATCACCAAAATATACTGCATCTGGGTGTAGTGGCACACGCCAGTGATCCCAGGATTTGGGAGGCTGAAGCAAGAGGATCACAGCAAGTTTAGGACCAGTCTGGCCTACACAGTAACTTTACAGCCAGACTGCACTACATAGCAAGACCCTGTATCTCAAAAATCAACCAAATGAACAAAATACACTATATCTTCCACTGATTAGCAACAGGAAAGAGAGTCTAGGAAGAAGTATGAGGCAGTCCAGCACGATGGGCTGGAGCACTCATGGATGGTAGAAAAGATATTCCTACATCCCAGTCCAAGTGGGACCTGGAGAAGGGGACAGAAAGGCACTCTGACCAGGTCTTGGTTCCAAGCTGGGGACCCTGTGGGGGGACAAACCAAGTGGAGCTCGACCTGGAGCTTAGCTTTGCTACCACTCCCCACCCCGCATCTGGCTTCCTGGACACTACACCAGCCAAGCATTCTTCCTCTTCTCTAGAATCTGGGAGATGTCGGGGGGCTGCTCATAGGAAACTCTTTCTGACCCCTTGGGAGCTTGCTCTGAACGCAGTACTAAGAAAAAAGCAACTGTGTTTCTTGTCTCCCTACACTGCTCAGAGAACATGCACTGGAACTCAGGAGGAAGTCAGGGTGGAAAGAGGTTGACCTCTACATGTGTAACACACGCACTGACCAGGACTGAAAGACAGGGTGTGCTCCTTGCTATCCCAGGGGTGAGTTTTTTAATATATATTTAGAACCATGACGATACATAGATTAATAATATGAACTACTGATATAATTTGTAGCTTTGGTATGTCCTTCATCATTGATATAAGTGCAAATAGAAAGAAAAAAATCTAAAAAACAACTTTCATTTATTTTAAATCTACCACTAAAAAAGTAAGTAATTCACAACTTCTAAACATACTGGGCAAACAAGGCCTACCTGGAATATTCACCTGGGCACTAAAGATACAATCAACACAGCAGAGGGTGGCAAGTTGAATGCCCATGCACTGCTGTATTAGTAACCTCTCAGACTGAGCAGGCCCCAAAGTCCTGCACAGTAAACAAATCAGCATGAGTAAAGCCTTGCATCTTGACCAGGAAGTGCTTGGTTAGCCCTAGTCCGCTGCGTTCGGCTCATGGTAACAGAATGCAGGCTCAGATAGGTTTCACACTTTATGTCTGCAGTTTTCCAATTAATCGGCAAAGTGGAACAGCTGTAGAGCCCTAACAGTACACATGTCCTTCTATCACTCTTTAACCACAGCTGCAGTCAGATCGTGTTATTTGTGCAGCCCTTGCAGTTTGTAATTCCTCACACTTCACACGGCACCCAGACTAGATATGTGTTGGGTAAATCTACTCAAGATGCTTTCAGTCTTATTTAATCCTCACAGCCACCATGTAAAACAGGAAGAGTGGGAGTCACTCCCACCCCACAGGTCAGGATGGTGAACTTTAGAGACTGCGTCACTGTGGCTAACATTAGCTGGGCAAGGACCTTAGAGCTAGGCGCTGCTTCAAGCAGTGAACACATTAGCCTTGGTTTTCACAGCATTTCAATCAGGTGGATAAGAATGACACTCGCATTTCATAGATAAGAACAGACTGAGGCAGAGGGAAATTAAGTATTAACACACGAGTGTTAATATAACCACAACCAGCTATTACTTTTACCAGGGCTAAGACTGAACCCGGAAAGCTGGCTCCAGGGTCCGTACTTTAACCACAACACCCCACTTTGGGATTTGCTGCCTCATGGCAGCTATGTGCTTTGGCCTTGGTCACACAGCTAACCACTGGCCAAGCTGCAGGTATTCCTGTGCTTCCTGCAGGCCACTGCCCTGCCCGATAGGTTCTTTCAATGACCATCTGTATAAACAAAGCCACTCTGGGCCTTACCACAAGTCCACCCAATGACCAGGGTAGGACATGAGTAATGACTTGAGTTCTCTTCTCAGAATCCCAAGGCAAAGAGGCCACCATCAGAAGCCAAGATGTGTCAAGGGGTACAGGGCAGAGACTTATACCACTTGGAGGGTGGTATATGGAGAAGGTGAACTCTCCCTGGAGACATGAGCTACTGAGGCTCACCATGTGGGGACCCTAGAGCCTCTGGTATGTACCCAAAGCCCTCTTGGAGACCACAAAGCTAATGGATGGTCATAGGTTATGGTAACAAATCAAAGAGAAAAAAGGAAGTTTTAAAATACACAGAATTTAAAGCTTTACTGAAGGATGTGTCCACATTTTATTAATTTTAGGTTTTAGCTAACTCTTCCATTACCATTTCAGGTAAACCTATTCAAAAGCTCAGGGACTGCAAAAATGGATGGGCTTCCAAAGGAAAGAACACATATCCTGTCATATGTTCAGAGAGCACAGCTTCTTAGGAGACCTTTCTAGAAAAGGTCTTGGCTAACGCAGTGTAAGCACAGTCAGTATTTTAGCAACTGATCGACTGCATCTAAGCACATTTGCATGGAGGCAGAATGCTTCATATACTGTGCAACAAATGTATTTCTGAATCATTCTGCAAAGTGAACATCCATTTATTGCTCCATACACATACACACCAAAATGCAGGCTCAAAGTTCCCCAGTATTTAGATTTCCTCTGGTAGGAGAAAAATATCAGTGAAGCTTTTCATAGAAAATGAATGAACACACACAGCAATTTTCTCCCGGCGACACCTCCTTTTTCAAAGACTGCAGTGTCACCAGATCTCTATGTGTTAACAAAATGCTGAGAAATGTAGCATCTGACTTACCTATTGGATTTCTATCGAAGAACAATACTGGAGCTTTCAGGATTGACTCGAACATTTTGTTGTGCAAAGTTTGGGAAGAATTAACAAGGACATAGAACACCAACAGCGATCTTGCTATGCCAAAAAGGATAGTAGCTACAGTCAAACCTAAAAAAAAGGAACACCAGTCAGATACACAGGATCCTCGCATTTCCGTGTATGCTAAAGCAAGTCAAGCAACATATAAATACAAAAGTATGCTGTGTGTAAGGATACACTGACAAAATAATTAAAACAGTTCATTTTTCTCTTACAGAATGAAAACTACATGGGAGAAAAATGGGGTGTAAACCACAATTTCATCTTAAGCCTTCCTAATTTATTTACACGTTCTCCTAAAGACCTAGAAGATAACCATTAATAAGCAGTTAGTCTTCCCCTTCTCCATATTCTAAATCTCATTATTTACAATATGTCCCACCACCTAACATCCTAGTACCAACATCTGACAGTAACAGGGGATAGGAGAAATGATTTACCTTTTCCTTGTAGAAAATGCCCAAGGAGCTTTAAAGAATTTGAAAATATCACATTAAATTGCACATGGAAAAGCTCTTAAATTGTTGAATTGCAAGAAAACATGTTATATTTAATATAAGATAACCTCAATAAACTGATCTCCCACTGATTTAAAGAAACACAAAGCATTTTTAACAAATTATACATTTTATTAAGACATACGTGATTTAATATGCACACGAAATCAAACTCACCCTCTCTGTCTTGTGCACTCATGTGTACATGCACCTTGTGTGTGTGTCTATGTGTGTGTGTGGTGGTGGTAGGTATCAAACTCAGGGCTTCTGGAATGCCAGGCAAGGACGGGAGCAATCTGCCCATCCCTGCTTTCCTAATACCTTCTAATTCGCAGTGCTGCATAGAATGGGGATAATTTCAGGAATAAATCTTTCCTCTTGTAACAACACAGCACTATTATTTAACCTCTGAAAGCTGCTCAAATTCAGAAACTCCATTAACAGGCATTTTCCTTAGCCCGCCGCCCTAGTTGAATATACAATGGAACCCTGTTCCTTTCTCCTTTAGGTTTCAGTTCATCTGCCAATCTGGATAGTAAGTAGCTAACGGATTTGGATTTCTTAGCAAGAAATCAACAAAATGCCAAATTTCAGTGAGTGGGTTCTTACAAAGCTACTCACTCTACCTCTGAAGAAAGCTTCTATGAGTGTTTCCGGTGAATATATTTAAAATTTTAGATGAGGATTTCCTTTAAAAAGTGTGTAATGCTACATACATTCCAAGCACTCCTGTGCAAACAGAATGCAGTGTTAATATTAGTCTGGCAAGCCAAATGTTAAAGTTAATCACACAGTTGGGGATGCGATAACATTGTGATCGCCAGGTAAGAAAGAGAAGTCGTAATTCCCAGACACTGGATTTCTCCCTGCTTAGCTTCCCTCTTAAGTAATTAGTGAAGCCCGAGAGATGAGCAGTGTGGAGAAGGGAGCTTTGCATACCTGGGAGGGAATAATGCTTTTATTTTGGGGTCCTTGCTGCCAGAGGATTTCATCCAAGTTCAATAAAAGCCAGGGTTTATTCAGACAGAATTGGAACAATCCGAACCGCAGGGTGGGGATCCGTTTCTAATCCCCTTGCCCAGCCATATAATGATATAAGATTTAGCTAAAGCAACCTATTAGAATAGACAATGGCCACATATTTCCAGTGGCTGATTTTCTGAATGCTCAATCCTAGTTTAACTTTCAAAATCCAGTACAGAGCAAATTAAGAGTCTTCCATTCAGCCTCTTTCTTCTAGTAGATTTTAAAAATAATTATTCTAATTAATTCACAGAATAAATGCAACTCAGTCTCCTAATCGGTTAAGACATTACTCAATTACTCCTGGAAGCCCCGGTTACTCACACTGGCTCATTGTAAGCATCTCAGGCTCTCATATAATAGACCAAATGATTAACTTTACCTGCATAAATTCCTAAGTACCAGTTAAGATCTAGCTTCTCAGTTACATTTCCTTTCCCATTTACAGTGACATTCGGTGTGCTTTGTTCATTTGCCCTATGGAACAGGAGAGGAAAAAATATATTAAAAAGCTAGGGATAAAAATCAGATAAATACAAAAAAAAAAAAAAAACCCAACAAAACAAAAGGAACCTCAATTTGGAAGAAAATGTTTTGTGATGGAAAATGACTTCCAGTGCACATGGCCTGTCACGCACTTGCCTTATAAAAATTCAATTTGAATTGTGACTTTTGGTTCTCAACATGCGGCTGAGAATCAGACGTGGGTAGAGACCATTATGGGTCACATTCCACCAGCAAGAACTTTAATTTTTCTTCAGGTAACTAAGTGAGGATTAGAAGGAAAGGTTCAACAAACTACACCTCTCCTCCAAACTCTGTGGAAAAGTGAGGGTTTGTGTTGACTGCATGACACTTTGTGTGAGGGGAGGAATAACTCACCAATAGGAAAGCCACCAGTCCTGAAGGACATAGGTAACCTGGAGAAAGGAAACAAAAAAATCCAGCGTTGGCACAACTTCAACTCTGAACTCTAGGCCACAACAGTGTGTAATCAAAAGGACAGCTCAGAAAACTGAGGTGTTCCTCGGGGCTCAGGTGTGTGCCAAGGCCAACTTCCCAGACAACAATAGGGTGGGGAAGCACACAGCGTATCTTCAGATCTTTACAAGGTATCTTTCTTCTCTAGAAGCTGGTCCTGTCCATGCAACCCCACCCAACATCACCCATCACAACAAAACACACAGCATAGGTCTATGTTGGTCAAATCCAGTAACTGAGGTCAAAGACAGAACTTCAGAGCAAATTCCAAGAGAATCGCAGAATGCAGTGACCACAGCATAAATGTGAGTGTGTAAATGCCACTCCAGGGGTGTAAATATTATTTACCTGAGCTGCCATGTTTAGCAGAATAAGGAAAATGATGATAAACCAGGAAGCACCTGCTGTGAAGTAATTCTTGTAGGCCTTGAAGCCAACCTTCCCTTCTGAACGGCTCTCCTCTGATTGTGTTACCTGTACATTCTCTGGCTGTAAGAGACAAAACGGTACCCAAGACAGTTTCAGAAGCTGACAGTGCACCTTGTTAGCAAAGCTGTGGGAAGAGAGGCAATCAGATGCAACTGGTAGGAGTCAAATGAGTATCTTCCATGGGTAGGGTATTGCAGATACCTAGCAGGGTGTGCAAGCTTTATCTTGCCAATCTATAAACACATTTGCCCAGGACCAGTCATCCCACTTGACAGAGACTATGAGAACTAAGAGGATAGCATCTGTACTCTGTAGTGGCTTTGCATGAAGTAGAGTGCCATGATTTAGGCATGTGCCATGATTTCTGGCACATGCCTAAAATACCCAAATGCAAATGTAAATAATGAGGCTTATTCCAAAACAACTAAATGGTGTGGATCAAATGCATCACTTGCATCACCTCAGAATGAAAACATACACTAGAAGGCTGGGGGTGCTTAGCATGCACCAGGTCCTCAATTCTATCACCAGCACCCCAGCAACCACAATGAACAACAAAAACACAGCATAGGCCTATAGGTCAAATTCAGTAACTGAGGTCAAATTATACATCTGGGAAGTGAGTCTGGCTAGCAAGGGATAGCTATCATCTCAGTCATTTATAACAGAATCATCCAGGCTCCTCAATTTGGACAGTAAGGGTCTGGATAGCAAGGATTATCTATCTATCACTCAGATCTCTGCATCACATCATTGATCAAAAGCACTCAGGGAAAAAAAACTGTAACTGAATTGAGTATGTATAGATTTTTTATTTTGTCATTATTCCATAAATAATTCAATATAAGTCTACTTACGTAGCACCTACATTGTACTAAATTAACTTGGAGATAAAGTATATGGAAGATGTGCACAGATTATATACAAATACCATGGTATTTTATACAAGTGATTTGGGGAAGCTCAGATTTTGGTATCTGCAGGAGTTCTGGAATATATCACCAACCAATACCAAAGGATAACTTCTTTAAAGAGAGGTTTCATGGATTTCTGCCTGGAAGACTGAGAATATATTTAAGAGTCACACTAATTAAGGATGTTCTTGGCACTATGCTGACCTCTGGGCATTCGCAGATGAATTAAGATGCGACTCTCAGACTTGAACAATAAAAAGGAAAAAAAAGGAACTAATTCTGAAGTGTCAATTATGATCAAGGAGTTAGTAGGTCTTCTGGCCTGCATCTGAAAACAGGGCAAAAGAATACCATCAGCTACTCACAGTGACAGAACATGCTAATAAATCACAAATCCTAAAAGTAGTTGATTTAATGTAGGCCACAGGAGGGCAAGGGTCAAGGGGTCACTGAATTACGCTTCTGGACATAAAAAGAATCTCAGAGCCACAAGAGGATGCCACAAGTACAGTAGACCAAAGTTTCATGAGCCCCCAAGACCCTGAGTCAGGTCACAATGTTAGATGAACTCACGTCTTGGCCCTCTGGAATGCCATCTTTCAAAGAGGGTCTAGAAGATTGTTGAGACCAAACAGAAGACTCCGAGAAGGTACGATTCCTTAGTGTTGGGGTGCCTGGAACTGAAGATGGTTCAGCTTCCTCGTTTTCCTTCTTTAAAAGGGAGCCAAAATCTATTCCAGATTTCAGAAACTCAGTGTAAGTTCCCTTCTGCACCATTTGTCCCTAAAATCAACATTTAAGAATTTCAGAGGAATACATTTGCATGAGATACTACTAATCCAGTCTAATCTAATTTTTTAAAATGTGAGTCTTAAATCATAATTATCTGAATCCCAGTTGACAAATACAGTATAATTCAAAAACAGTTAATTGAACTCCCTGTGTTCTACCAAATCCTATTTAAGGTTACGTAGGATATAAAAGGAAAGTGTAACAATGGAGTCCACTGACATAAATTATCATGGGCACTTAAGGAAGCAAAAAGTATAGATATGCTGTGCAGAGTCCATGCATAGTCTTTTTGGAGAATATGGAAAGAGAGGTTAAGTCTCATGCAGTAAGATTTTAAGTAACACAGTAAATGGGGAAGATGATTCTAGTGGAAAAAAATTGGGTTGACAGGGAGAGACACAAGTATACCTAGAAGAATCACCTAACAAGACCCATCTGGTCACCTGTCTACTCTGGGACAAGAACATGTGAACCCAGCCCTGGACACGTACTCCGTGAGCTGCATAATCATGGTCTTTAAAACTGTCCTCCAAAACTCAGGTAATTCCAAACTGAAAATACAGCATTCCACGTGATGCCTCAGCCACGATTCCCCTTCTTACAAAGTCATAGACAATCATGTGCAGTTACCTTAACTATGTTTTCACTCCATGAAATGAAATCCAGCTGATTTACTCAAAAAGTCACAACAAAGTATTAGGCAAATCCTAAGATTCAAAGCAAATCAAAGGACAGCAGCCCCAGGGCTGAGGCAGGTCAGGTGAGTGGAAGGTGCCCAGGATTCTTCCTGCCTCCCACCCAAAGCTGGCCCAGGCAGGAAAAATCTCCTGGTACTTTTAAGTTGTTTGCAATAGTCTGATAACTAGAGAACTATTAAATTATTCCTCATATACTTTATGTTTGTTGTACTTACAAAGTAAAATTCACACACTGGTTTCATGAAGTTAATTTTTTATCTGATATAAGATATACAAGGAAATTACTAGGGGTTTTGGGAGAGTAATTTTCCCAAGAGGCCACAAGCTGAGAATTCCCAGAGGAGAGGGAGGGACCACAATCACCTCTGCTGTGAGAGAGGGTCAGACCAACAGCAAAGATGGGCCCCAATTCACGCAGTGTCAGACAGTGGACAAATGGTTCTGAAAGTATTAAAACTGGGAGGTATCCTCACACCAAGCAGGATGAGGCACCCCAAAAGCAGTCCCCACCAGGAGATCAGCAACATAGCTATTTCATCACCCACTGACTTTGCATTCATGTAATATTACTGACACCCAGCTTTGACCACACTAGTTTCAGCCCTCTGCACAAGAAATTAATTGTCTTCAAGTTTGAGGAATCTGAGCCCCTGTTTCTGGGGGAACTGGAAAGAGCTGACACACAGAGACGCTTCTGAAGAGGTAGCAATTCTGCCTTTTATAATCCTCCTTGGGGCTAGAAGTCACTTGATGGAGCTTCGACTGACAGGTGCCTCGCTGTTCTTTAAAAGCCACACTCAGTATTAAAAAGACTTAAAGACTTTTGCAAGAACTGAGGGTATATTCTGCTTGTTGCAATACTGTGAAATTTACCTCTTTCTGAGAAAGTGCTCACAGTTGTAAACTGAAGTGTTATTTGCTATTTCCAGTTTTTCAGGGAGAGGCTGTGGGAGGATGCTAGAGTTTAGATACAGTTTAACTGTGTTCCTCCAGCCTCCACTGTGATTAGAGGTTTGATTCCCAGGGTATCCCTACTGGGAAGGGGTGGAACCTGCAGGAGGTGGGCCTAGGGGAGTCCTTAGGTCACAGGACATGCTCTGAGAAGGGAGGGCAGGACCTCAGTCTCTCTCCCTTCCTGTTTGGCAAAGTCAGCCCTGTCCCATGTAGGGGTCTCTGCTACAATGTGGCTGCACCTAAGAGGACCTCTGCCAGAGTCTAGCCTAAGCAGGCAACACACCCCTGGATCTCTGCAACTGTGAGCTGAACAAACTCTGCCTGTTTATGAAGTTAGCTGCCTAGGGAATTTCACTGCTGAAACTCAAAGCTGAAGAATACAGAAAGGAAATAGTAAAACATTTGAAAGTACTAAGGAGATGGTTCCTGGCCCTGGATGAGGAATGTGTAACCCAGGACCTGTTGCAAAATATGAGCAGTAAAGGCAGGGAGGCTGGGGCATAACAAGTAAACAAGCCATGCGTATCAAGCCATCTGGGCAGCTGACAAGGCTCTCTAACCTCCACCTCCCCAAGGCAGGTGGCTCCAAAAAGATAGGTGAATGTGACCTTCTCTGGACATAGGACCTTTGCAGATGTGATCCAGTTAAAATGAGATCATTCTGGAGTCAGTGAGTCTTAAGCCCAACAGGAATGATGTCCTTAGAAGAATCCTGAGGGACACAGATCAGCCCATGTGACAATGGAGGCAGCAGCAAGTGCCAAAGCTCCAAGCCAAAGAACATGAACCACATGACAGTGTATCCCGACGGTCACTCAGGCAGCGTGTCTATATAATGACTGTCCCAAGAGTCCTCAGGCAGGTGTTACTCCAACCAGTCAATTCTTATTTACCGGAGATATACTGTCTGTTTTACATCAACTATTTTTTGCATACTTTTTTATTTAGAACATTTTCACCTTTGATGTTCATTTCTAGTGAAATATAATAATTTCTGGTTATTGCCTTTTGTTAATTTGTGTTTATTTGTTTCAAATAGCCTTTAATTTTGTACTACAGTGTATAAAAACTCATAAGTACATTAGATATAATTTCTATACTCTTCCAGAACTCAGTGATAGTCTTTGACAGTGCATTTTGGACACTGAGCCTGCACAGGAAGGAAGTGGCAAGAGATCTGCAAAAGAAAAAACTGAAAAAGAGAGAAAGGTTAGCATAAAGGAGAGGAAGAGCCTGTGTTACGAAATGGAAAGAAAAAATAGATGTCTCCTTACTGTCAACTACATGATACAGAAATGCTACAACCTGAAAAAAGAAATGAAACTAAGAAAACCCCAGTAGTGGTCAATGATTATAATTCTTTGGGCAGTACTAGTAGAGTTGATCAATACATAACAAGCTATCCCATGTACAAGAAGTGAGGAAAAAATACTGTAAAATTTTTATGCATCTTTTAGGCCAAACAATATGGAAATTATTTGTTATTTATTCAAAATAAGAGGGTTTAAAAGCCATTTACAACTTAAACTAGGTCTAATACACCAAATACTAGGAAAATAAGAGGTAGTGAAACATCAACCAGGATGTCCATCATTGACATTTTACTGAAACTGTACCATCACGGAAAAAGTCCGACACAACAGTGTAAGGTATATTGTGCAGAGAAAGACATTAAGCAAGAAGAACTGGAAACAGACTAGATACGACTGCCCAGACTGTAACACTGTGCTGCATATTGAGTATTTTAAGATTTACCATACACAGAAAAATTATTGAATAAATCTGATAAAACTGTCATTTTTATATCTCCCATTATCTTATAAAAATTAACCAAAGAATGCAATTTTTAGTCACCCTGCATTTAAATAAGCGGACTGGTAATTAGCCAAGGCTTGCCAGGAGGCGAAGGAGGCAAGGAAGGCCTCTCACACTCCCACAGAGAGCGCAGTGCCCCCATGGTCCTGACCGCAGGCCTGGGGGTGCCTGCAGCATGAGACCACCATGCCCTGTTGTTTAAGTCACCAGGTCTGTGCCCCTTTGTCCTAGCAGTGCGGTCAAACTGATACGTCACCCAAGTCCGCACTCTCTCCCCTGAGGAAGACTTCTGCTTCTGCTGAGTCCCCCACTGAACACTAGGAGGGATCCTTTAAAAATCACGTCAGGCTGGCCTTGGTGACTCCATACCTGTAATGCTTGCCTTCTGGGAGACTGAAGCACGGGAACTGGAAGTTTGAGCTCAGGTTGGGCAACTTAGTGACTTATTGAGACCTCGTCTCAAAATAAAAAATAATAAAAGCCCTAAACATGTACCTTAGTGCAAACATCCTGGGTTCAATCCCCAGTGCAATTAGAAAAAAAAATATATCACAAATCAGCCCACATCGTTTCCCTGCTCTGGACCAAACAGCAGCTTCCATCTCAGTCCCAGGCCTACTGCCCTGTGCAGGTCCCCTGCATTCCTCCAAAGCTGCCAGGGGACGTCTTTCCTAGGGAACAGGCCACTGGGCTCCCTGCATCAGATACTCCTAGCCCAAGTGACAGCATGGTAGGCACCTGGTCTGGCACTTGGGTCCCTCTGTGCCTCTCCTTCATGGCATCCATCTCTGGCAAGAAGGGTCGCCCTGTAACAGAGCACAGGCTTTGTCTTCCTAGCAGCTGTGCAGGCTGTGGCTGTGCAGTGAGACCGGGTGGGTACTCGGAGCAGGGGACATAGTAGGCCACACAACCATGGTGCTGTTATTAATGAAGATGCTCCTTAGCAAACTGGCTGACTACCAAATGGATGCGGACGCGGCTTCTATCTGTACTTTCCAAACAATCCACTTTGGTTTGAGTCATGGAAAAAGGAGACAAATTTCTAAAGAACACAGCACCATTGCTAACAATGTCAACAAACAGCGGTAGTTCAACAATTTTATCTACTTCAGGATGGGATGTTTTAGAACATAAAGTGACATTTCTACGAGTCCTACGAATTTCTTCTCAAGGACATGAATCCCAGCTCTAAGAAAGGGATACGAAACTGAAGAAGAAGAGAAAGTTTCCCAAGAAGCCCAAGGCAGCTGTCCTGTCAGGAGAATGTCCCTGAGGACTGTCAGTGTAGCAGATTATCTCAAAATTACTTACATCTTTCAGTATCAGAATGTGGCTTGCAGCTTTTAGGTATTGCAACTGATGGGTCACTAAAATCGTGATCTTCTCGTGTAAGGTTTGACAAATACACCTATAAATGTAAAAAAAAAGTCCATTATAAGAAAGCACATTAGCACAGATGCTCCAAACTGAAAAGCACATTTTAAACCATCATGAGCCCAAGGCAGCCCAGCAGTCACAGATATGTAGTTTAAATACAGAAGTAAATACAAATTAAATATAAATCAGTGGAGCCAACTAGGGACTCAAACTCACCAGGAGAAAATCTGAGTGTTGCTTCTCTGCTAATAAATTCTAAAATGTGGTCCAGCAAAAGGGATGCTGGCTGCTAATTTTTTTTTTTTTTGTAAAACTCATTTTTATATTTCATAATAAAAATAGTTTAGCAATACTGAGATTATAAAACTTAACTAAAATACTAGTAATTTTACTGGTACATAGGAATGGGGGAATGACAGGCTGATGTCATATAAAAATGCAGCTGTTTCCAAGGCGATTAAGATGTATACATTAATCAAGCCAAAAAGCAAAATGTCCTTAGATTCTTGGCGATCTTTACCAGAGAGCATTCTCTTGTTCCTTCCTTCCAAATCACAGTGGATGGAAAAATAAACACTCTGGAGGACATCATCAATCACCGCAACACTTCCAGTCCCAGTTTGGAGGAAATTTTCCTCTTGTTAGGACTAAAATCTTCCGAATATGAAAATGAGGAAACAGAATCCAAATGGTCCAAATCCTAACAAAAACCACCCTACAGCTGCAAGGATGAGAAGGACCTCGGGGATTCAACCTTAGCTTCACTTTGCAGCGACCCACTTCAAAGCACGGAACCGCAGGAGCTCAGGCCCAGTTCGGTGCCAGGTAAGGGGACTGGATAGGGACCACAGGCAGGAGTCCTGCTCACACTCGGGTTCCCAGGCCTTGCAGAAAGGGGCCAGGCCACCACACACTCATCAGACCTCGAGTTCTGGAGGAACACAGCATCCAGGCTCTTCATGCCCCAGCCTGGAAGTGCCCGGCAAGTGACTAAGCCTCTGGGCACTCCCACTTCCCCACTTCCGAACAGAGCCAAGGTCGGCTCCCAAGCACATTCTGAGGGGTAAAAGCGCAGTCCGTGAAAAGGACACGGGACAAAACTGACAGTCAAGAAACGTTAGCTCCATCCTCCACTCCTCCTCTAACCAACCGGCTGACTGCTTTCCATTCAGGGTTGGAAAGTCACAAACAAAAGGTGATTTTTAGGACAGGGCTCTGACCAGAACCGACACTCCACACTGCAGATGCCAAAGCTACTCCCTTCACTCTTCCCATCCAAAGGGACTAACTTCTTCCCTGTGGAAAAGTCCTTATTTGGGTTATTTCAATCTTAACTGTTCAGCCTACTAAGCCCCTCTTCAGATGTAGGAATCAAGCTTTTAAAGGAATTCTTCCTCCTTAATTCAAAATCACTTGCCACTCCTCCCTTTATATAAATATCTGAACAGAGATACTAATCACATCTGAAGGATAGCTACAATCAAAAAGCCCAAGTCAAAGGCCTCAAAAATGTTTCCAGTATAATGGCCAAGATAATATAAATAATTACAACAGTATTGTAATAGATGGCTTTAAGTTTTTTTTCCCAAACTAGGCAATTATTTTTCAAAATTTCCAGGATAAATGCTTTCCAAATTGCTAGTACTAAAAATTTCCAAGTTGTGACACTAGAATTTTTTTTTAAAGAAACAAGGTCTGTGTGTCCATGCTTGCTCCAAACTCGAACTCAAATGATCCTCCTGCCTCAGCCTCCTAAATAGCAAAACCTACTGCCACATATCACTGTGCCTGGCCAAGCCACAAAAATACCAATTAGTTTGGCAATGCATCACTTAATTCTTATCCTGTCAACGGCTCTTTAGCGCTGACAATACCTGGCAACACAAATAAGAGAAACCCACACAAGCCACAAAGGCCCTCAGCAGTGAGGAAAACCTGTCCGTCATATGGGCTGATGCACACTTGCCCAGCAGTGACACAGTGTGTCTGGCCCCTAAGGGCTGAGGGCACACAATCAGACAATACCTGGCCACACAGAGAACAGACACAACAGTGTGAATAGCAAACGCACTGACTGGCTGGGAGGTGGGCTATGAAGAACGCTCGCTAAGGGCTGCTACTGGAGAGCGAACAGTCAGGAATGACCTCTCTGCAAGGTGACACAGGACACTGTCTGCAGGGTTCGGGGATCACAGTGCCAGGAGGGGTACAGGGCAGGCACACAGCCACGAGGCAATGCAGCGCCACTCATGGAGGGCTGGGGCAGCCAGCAGGGAAAGGCAGGCTGCCTGTGATGCATCCTTCCTCCTCCTCTGCCCTGACACAGGGCTCCCAGCTCTGAGACTAGAGGAATGCACTCCGCAGACCGAAAGACAACAAGGGCAGGTGCGTGACTAGGGCATCAGATTGTACAAGGGCAAGAAAGCCAATCAGGCGGGTTGCAGAGAACTCATCTGCCATTTGAGGACTTCGAACTGAATCCTGAATGGAAGGGGGGTCCGCCAAGGGCTGAAACAGCAAAGGTGAACTACTGCTGTGGTATGAATGTGTCCGCCCCCCCTAGAGTTCATGCAGTGTGAGGAGGTGGGGCTTTTCCTGGGACTCTGTACTCACAAATGGAACTGTGTCCCTGTTAAAGGGGCCCAAGAGAGCTGCCACATTGCTTCAGCCACCTGGGGATGAAGCAAGAAGGCAGCTGTATACGAACCACAGAGTTCACAGTCGCCAAAGCCACCAGCACTTGGATCTTAGACTCGGTAGTCTCCAGAACTATGAGAAACCTTTCTGTTATTTATAAACCACCCAGTTTATGGTATTTTGTCACAGCAGCCTGAACAGACTAAGTGAGGCAGCAATGTAGGAGATCTCAATACAACAGAACTGATCACGGGGAGTCAGGGGCCTGGTAACTTGAGGCTTTCTAAAATATGACAGGTATAAACAGGTACAAACAGATCAGCCGTCAGTTAATCTAAGAGCCCTAGCCTTCCACACTAGATAGAATCCACTTCATGTCCATAACATATAGTTGTAAAACTCGCAAACCTTAATAACCTTGGATGTATATTCATGATTGAAGTAAAACTGTTAATGGCAAACAGAAGTGTAACTCATTCACTTTTAATACAAAACACTTCACATTTCTAAGCTCTAACACAACCGCCATCTTTCATAGTATATTGTTCAATCCAATTTTCTAAGTCGTTGAGAACATTCTCCAGTTGCTGGTGAGTGATTTCCTAAATTGCATTCGTGCTCCCTGCTCGAAGTTTCCCCAAAGAATGTGGTTCTGATTAGCAAATAACAATTTTAACAAGCTTGCTTCCATCAAGTGTATATCCAAAGTCATTAAACCTTAAAGGTGCGATAGGACTTTATAAACACCTCTGTGTTGAAAGGAAAACTTGGGGGAGCTCTTATGATATGCATATTGATACTTAGCAATTAGAATGCTTTCCTCTCCCTTCCCAAGAGGCTGTGCCCCACCAGGAAGATCCACCATCATTCACTTCCAGAATGCCATACCAGGCATATCTTACACCTCCACTCTGCTGGGGAAACATTTAGTTACCCTTCCAACCCCTCTAACCAAATGACACGCTGTATAAATGACCCCGTATCCCCAGCCACTAGAAGCGAGAGTCTGGAGCTGTGTTCTTCTCTCTCTGCTCAAAGCTCGACTTCCATTTTGCTATCTAGGACCTATTATGTCGAATTCATATGCTGAAGCCCAAACCCAGCTCCTTGCTGTCCGAATACAGTACCTTTAGAGAGTCACTGAATTACAATAAGGCTGTGGGTGGGGTGAGCTGTCCAACCTCATTGGAGTCCGTTTAACGAAGGGAAACTCTGAACACAGGCACAGGAGGAGGAAAGAATTCCAGAATGCAGCAAGAAGGCAGTGTCAGCAAGCCAACAAAAGGAATCATCGCCATTAACACCTGACATCAGTCCTCCCACCTCCAAAACTGTGAGAGAATAAATTCCTGCCATTTAAGCCATCCCATCTGTGGGGTTTTGTTTCAGCAGCCTGAGCGCCACAATAGAGGACCACAGGACGGTATCATCAGCATTTCCACACATCTTTCTCTGCTTGAGGGAGACTTGCTTGCTGCTCTCTCCTTGAGCCTCCCCTGTCACCATCTCAGCATCTCTGCCTTTGTCATTCCTCTCACCAAAAGGAACTGACACCTAGCGTCAGCCTTTCTAAACCTCTCCAATGGAGCCCACAAGACCACAGGCTGCTTCCGCCCCCCACCTCCCCGAAGCTGGCACAAACCGATCTGCCAGATCTCGGCGGAAAGCCCAGAGTTGCCTACTTCTCTGGTCCAGTACAGGCCCCCTACACTGAAACCCTCTATGCCAGGCTTTAGGGTAAAACTGAGATCTCAACTTCTCTGTCTCATTCACTCTGCCCGGTGTGGGTGCTTGACTTCTCTGTGGCTTACGGTCCCCTCCCTGGCAAACTAGATAGGAGGTGATATGCAAGGACATCTGTCAGAACATCTATCTCAGTGCACACAGAAGGGGACCTACCAGTACAGATAAAAGGGCTCACTAGCCTTAACACAATGCACCACAAACAGGGAAAAAACCGGGGGACTGATCCGGATGCTGTTTTATCAAGAACAAATTCATGTGCTTTTTCAAAGGCCAGTTTACAATACACAGCAAGGGTACCTCTGCATACATTAGGTCACAGCACACACCGCAAAGGCTCCAAAGTCTGTTGCTTCACTGGCTCAGTGGCTAAGCAGGAGCCAAAGCAAGCAAACCGCAGGAACATTAGAGTGAGGAATTAATGCAGGTCCTAGAGATCCAGCTGCAGGTGCAAGCTAACCTGGCCCATTGTGGCCCTGTGCATTAACACTGATAAAAACCCGTGGAGAAGTATTGAGTTCGTGAAACCACATTCATATGAAACAAATCATTCTTAAATTGTAGACTTGGTAATTATTTAAATTAGCAAATAAAGCACAAACCAATAAGACTTTTTCCAGAAAACCCTGCATTAATATTGAAGACCTCCCTGTTCACTCCCCATACACAAATGACAGAGAAAAAGAACTAAGAGCCCAGCACCAGGCTGCCAGATCCCATCCTTTGGTTTAAAAACTGTACATTTTCTTATCCCTACAGTCTGAATCCCTCTACAGCAACTCGGTAATCAACTTCGAGGACCAAGGCAAATGCTTGGAAAATTTTCTCTTCATTTTTTAACTCCCTACCACTGTGCTGCTCTCTTCAGCACACTGATGTCACCTTCTGCATTTTGCTACCTTGACCTTGCATTCATGCAAAAGCTTCCTCTAAAACAGATCCTCTGTGAGAGGCAGCAGGATCTTCTGTGAAGGGTACTAGGCAGGTGGAGTCCTCTAAAACTACAAAGCCTCTCCTGGCCCCCCTGGAAGGGCTACTGAATGCAAAAAGACAAAAGATAAAGCACACTCACAGCTGGAACAGATGCTTGCCAACTTCTGCATCCACTGCACTGAGCGGGTCGTCTAGGAGGTAGATGTCAGCGTCTTGATAGACAGCTCTAGAAAGCAGAAGAGGTATGAGAAGAGCCCCTCCAACTCCCCAGCCCTCTCCCTGGCAACCACATAGCCACATCAATAGGATGTTCATTGGGAGCCCCAACGGGATAACCCAAACCCTGGGCTTCCTGGAGATCCAACATCCAGGGGGCGAGTTCTGCATGTTCCACCAGTGGAAGCCGTAGGAGAAATATAGGCAGACAGATACACAAGCAAGTTACCTTGCGAGGTTCACTCGTGCTTTCTGCCCTCCGCTCAGTGTGGCTCCTCGATCTCCTATCACAGTCAGGTCCCCGTCTTTCAAAAGCTGTAAATCCTACAAGAAGCACGAGAAGAGCAGGAGGGGTAAAAGACCTCGAATGATTCTGTCACTGTCATCCAGAACTTTGAAGCAGGAGAACTTCAGAAATACAACACATTAGATCAGCAGTAATGGCTGTATTTCCATTTCAAATTATAATTTTGAACCTTTCCAAAAAAAAACCCTCAGGGCATTTTAATACTGTAGTTTTCCACAATATTTATGCACCTTTATAAGTCAGATTCAACTTATTGAGCATGAATTGAAGGCCAGGCACTGCTCTGGCCACAATAACTTCAGCGGTGAAAGAAACGGAGTCCCTACAGTCTCCGTGAGAGACTGACAATACAATAAAAACAGACATAAACACTTGTGATGATTAAGTACAAAAGGAAAAAAGGAAGCTAGAACAGGGGGACTGAGGATGCTGGAGAGAAAGCTTACTTGATACAGGGTAGCTCGCAAAGGCTCTCATTAAGGGGGTTTAGCTACGGACTGTTAAGAAAGTGGAGTGGATCAGCACAGACCGAGAAAAACTGGGCTACGTAGAAAAAGTGATCCAAAGGCCATGGGGCCCATGCATGTCAAGAATGTGCCAAGAACAGCAACTCAGAGGAGAGTGGGGCGGGAGAAGAGGGAGGTGTTGGGGGATGAGGCAGAGGAGACCAGAGGCACCATGGTTTCACACCCAGCAAAATTAGGAGAACAATACGATCTCAATCTGGTGGCCAAAAGAATCATTCCTGTCTCTTTGTAGAAATGAGATGGTGAAGGAGCCAGGAGCTAGAACAATACAAGTTACAAGCGGTCAGAACAATGGAAGTGAGAAATGACCATAGCTGGAATCTGAGTGCGAGCAGGAGAACTGAACAGACTTGTTCACATTCTGGACACATTCCACACTGCCGGTAAGATGAGCACAAGCACTGAGAGAAGACGGGACTACTCTGCCTACTCTGCCTTTGGGCCTGGTGAAGAGCACAGGGTCACCACTGACTGTGCTGTGGAGGGTGGTGGAAGCCAAGTTAGGGAGGAAGCCAGTTACAGCCAAACTGAGCTGCCACTGCCGGACACACAGGCTTGAAATGTATGCTGATGAGGGAACATGGAGAGGGCTCTCAGCATGCACACGAGTTCTCAGGACACGGAATTCATTTTACCGGGGAACAGGTACATCTTCCTTCACAAGCCATTGTGCTGATGATGCTACCTCAGCTTCCCACTTCTACTGAGGCAAAACACATACAGTGATGCCTAAGGCACCATTCAGAGTGACAAATGAAACCTACAGCAAGAGTGAGAGCAAGAGGTGTAGCTTAGGCAAAGGAAACAAAGGAAAAGAGACCGTCTTTAAGGGACACTTGCAGATCAGTTGACCCAAGAAGAGTCCTGTTCCATGGGGGCAGGACAGCTGAAAGGATAAAGGATAAATTACATCAAGCATTATTTAAGAAGTAGGCTGACACGGTGCTAAAAAATAAGATAGTATAACCATCAGGTTAAAGATAAGCAATATTCTATTAGAAATATCTCTAATAGAATCAAAAAGCATCAAGGTCCAGGGGACTCTGTTGTGTACCAACAGCACACACAGTCTAAGACTTTCATGAACACCGACCACAGACTTTACAGCAATAAGCCCTACTGCAGATCAACCTTCATTTCTTTATCTCAACTCTGACGAATCTCGGGACAAAGTGAATGGTACAGAGGGTTCCCCATGAAAAGCAAACCGTCTGACCTCCTTGAGTCCTCATTTACAAAATGTCCTGGAGAAAGCACAGTTCCTAACCTCACAGGATGCTGTGGGACTGGCACAGTACTCTGAGCACAACTGCGAGTGCTGTTGGCTGTGACGAGTCTTGGACAGGGAAAACACCTTGAGAATTTGAGGGCAAGTCTGAGCCAGGCTTATAGCCTGGACCTGATCTTTGGTTTGGTATAAAGGAAAAGCATGACATAAATGTAAGAGCCAGGTGTCCCCACTGAGAGGGTATTTTACATTAGCTACCCCTCCATAAAATAAAGTCGATTATTCCATCCCCAACTGCTTTCCCGGGAAAGCACACATGTAACCAGAGAAAAACCAGGAAGTGGCTATGCTGGTTTACGTCACCAGGCAGAGGTGTCGCAAATGCACTTTCAGCCCGATGCACATCCTACTGGGAGGTCACTGCCATGGGTCCTGAAGGCCAGAAGAACTGGATCACAGAGCCTCTACCCACAGTTGCTCCTGCAGATGGAACATCCAGCTTTCATGTGAGTCACTTCCCCAGCCTTGCAGGTCCACCCCACTCTCTCAGCTATGAAACCATCCTGTTAAGGCCTTCCAAAGTTATCCCTCTATCTTCTGGATTCCTAAGTCTTTCTTTGCATTTTTCAGAGAGGACTTGCCTTTATTCTGTGTCACTGTTTTTATGCTTCCAATGCTGAACTCCTGGATGGTAAGAACTATACACCAAGCACTGGTCTCCATGTCCAACTCTAATCATCCCAACAACTGGCAGAGTAAGTCTTGGCCTGCTACACAGGGCAGAAGGGTCTAAGGACTCTCAGGAATTGCAAAGAAGAGAAGGAACCTGAACCAAGCTCATCTCTAAATCAAGGACTTCACTGTTTCACATTAATTAGACTACCAAGCAGTTGCTGAAAAATATATTTAAAATAAAGGCAAATGATAGCAATTCAAATCTTCAAGGCCTCTATTTTCACACATGGATGTATCAATAAACTCACTTTCCACTTTAAATTCATCTCCTGTATCTCTCTAGTACCCAGCATTTATTTCTTAAGGTATAATGGTCTAACTGAGAGGTGGACAAATAAAAATGTAGCAGTAATTATTCTATAATTATCAGGACAGACTGAAAAGAAAATGTCCATGTTTGCTGGAACGCCGCAAAAATGAGACAAAACTATGAACTTGTGGATGCCTCAGGGAGGTGATCTGTGTGGAAAAACATTAAATAAATTTACCGACCAGTGTCTCCTCAGCTCCACACCATGTTGGAACTTAGGACCCTGGAAAAACAAGCAAGCAGCTCCCCTCCCTGGTAAGTAGTGGTGGTGTGGCATACTGTTGCCCTTCCAGGGGGAGAACCACCAGTGTCTCCTGAGATCCACACCATGTTAGAACTTAGAACGCTGGGAAACCAAGCAAGCAGCTTGCCTCCCTGGTAAGTGGCTGTGGTTGGCAGACTATGGCCCCTCAGGAGGAGAACCACCAGTGTCTCCTAAGATCCACACCATGCTGGAACCTAGGATGCTGGGAAACCAAGCAACCAGGTTGCCTCCCTGCTAAGCAATAGTGAACCTACTGGTACACAGCCTAGAGTCAAATATCCCACTTCCCATCCCTCCTCTGTTCCCCACGTTAACAAATGAGAACCAGAAATCTGAGCATCTCTTGGGAGATGGACCATAGCAAATAAGGGGGATTTCCTTCTAACATCTCTCTGAAGGCAAATATTTTTATCACTGTTTTGCTTTATTCTGATTAATGGTACTGCTCTATTCAATATTCTGTTTTGATAAGTTCTATAATGTTCTGTATTTCTTTTTTTTTTTTTTTTGCTATACATGATTGAAAGAACTACTATTGTAAAGATAATGAAATATACTGTGATATCTATCACTGTTATCCCAGTAACCTGCTGTGAAGTTCTGTACCAATTTCATTACACTGTCTCAATTGGCTTTATTCTGTCTTGTTCTGTTGTACTTTACTATACTTTCAAAATTAAAAAAAAAAATTATCAATGCCATTCTCTGAATGTGTACTGCTTGAAAGTCCTAAAAAGTAATCAAGGATTAAAGGATAATATATAGACACCTTTTGCACCATGCATTCTATTGTGTTTATTATGCCAGCAGTAATTTTACTGTTGGCCTATTTAGTGTACTGTATAAAGTACCTACATATTATGGTTTAGATCTAGAATGTCCCCCCAAAACCTCATGTGTTCAGAGGTGGAGCTTTAGGAAGGTGACTGGGTCACAGGGGTGCTGCATTCACAGTGAATTAACTGCATATGCTGTCAGGGGTGGCTGGGTCTGAAGAGGTGCCTCTGTCCCTGAGGGGGGACCCAGCAGGGCGCATCTCCTCCCCAGTGCTTTCCTTCACACTCTGCTTCCTGGCTGCCAGGCTGTGAGCAGCCTTCCTCAGACAGATCTCCCACCACGCCCTTTCCGTCTCACAGCCAGCTCACCAGTGCACTGAATTCTCTAAGAACCAAGAACCAAAATAAACCTCTGCTGCTTTCATTTGTGAGCATCCGTCAGGGACAGAGTGTCAGAAAAAGAAATGACTAAGACACTAAGAGCAGAAGTTACATACCCAGGTACATTCTTTCTAATATATCACATTTTATCCAAAATTGGGGATATAATTAAAAGGTAATATTTACAAAACGCCTGTTAGGAACCACATATTTCACACTACAATGGCCTTACAGAGTCCACAGAGAATAATATTATCTCCATTTTACAGATGCAGAAAATAAGGCTTTGAAAAGTTGGTGCTATTAACCAAAAAAACACCCACTAAAGAGAAACCGAGACTCAATCCTAGAGCTTTGGATTTTAACTACTACCCTAAATCACTAATAAGGCTAGCATGTTTCCCAAGGGTGTGTTCTGTAACTCAGTACAATATCACTTTGAGTATGTAATCAGCCTAAATGTGAATTATTACTTCATATCTCATTTTTGATCTCAGCAATGTTTTCAGCTCAATGAACTTAGAAATTTCCTTCAATTAGAACTAATTTAATACATCTGGTTGCTATGATTATATCTATTATTAAAAATCTTTGTTTTGTCTTGTTCTTCTTCCAGGTTGTTGTGACTAACAGGCTAAGGAGGAACTATTAAGAGAAACCCGTATCTTACCCTGCTGACTGGTTGATTGATAGAAATGGCCTACATTAATGAGAATCGAGCCAGGCAGAGTGGCACGATCCTGTAATCCCAGCACTCTGGGAAGCTGAGGCATGAGGACAGCACGTTTCAGTACA